CTTTCAACATACTCTTGTAAGAATAAATTGAGATCCTAAAACACATTATGGTTACATATCTCTCAGATTCCATTATTATTTTTTAAGGTACTGATCAATACAAGTCAGGGAAAATTCTGGGAAACTGTAACATATTCATGAAACTCATCAAGCAGCATCATCTTTATCCTATAAATATTTGTGTCATCAGAAACAATTTGTTTACGTCACAATAAGACAAAAAAAGGACAACCAAAAAGTTTTTTTGGGGGGGAGGAAGTCGGGAAAGAATGGGTTCTTAACATAAACATAAAAATCACAGATGGCCACTGATGTAAATCACGATAATTTCAGTGGAAGGAATGAACTGAGAAATTATGCATAATAAATAAATTTAAAACTCTAGGAATGTTTCAAAACAAGGGAGAAATATTGTTTGGGGTAATTATATTTGAGCGAGACTTTTGTGCTTCGACCTAAGCTGATGTCTGCAATTAGTGTCAAAATCATACTCATTTCTCTTAATTGACTTTTTGAAATCTCAATATCATATGCGGCAGAAGACAAAATTTCTATACATCAAAAGTTATGCTTAAGAAATTACAAATGGGATTATCTTTTTCAGATTCCTTATCTCACTAATTCACAAATCTTATTTTTAACAGTATTCTAGGACACTTACAACCTATTACACTGCTATAATTTATCATCCTCCTCAATTAATCTTTACTGAGTAACTACAGTGTTCTCTGGACTGTATGCCTCATTATATATAGGTCAGTTAAAAGCTTTACCTAAGAGATGCACTTCATGCTATGACTAGAATACTAAGAAACCTGAGTTCAGAATTACAACTAGAAACATCACAAACACCTTAAAGAATTATTTAATCAGTCATCTCAAAAGTTTGGACTTGAGGCCCATTAAAATGAAGGCGGAGGTTGGGAGTGAGAAATCAGACTAAAGATGACATTTTTCAAAGACTAGCCTACAGAGGAATTTCTAGAACTAATTTCATGCCTTGAAATAGCTCTAAATATGTATCCTTTTGATATTTATATACTAAAACATAAAATGTATACTCACACAACTTTAATCTTATTTCATACAAAACTCTTAGGCCATTTTATACTTAAGGGCAAATATTCTAACTTCTTGGTGACTACTATTTCTCTCTTCAACAAATACTTAATGAGGAAGATGAGATATGTGATAAAAGGTATTGATAAGGTAATATTTTCTGTAAATACTGCCTTATATTTTAATCGACTTTTTGNTTCTTTGCAGTGTAGTGTTTTGGTGAACCTGCTATGGGAAACACTGCTCTAATATTTTTGCAAAGCAAACACACTGAAACATAATCATGCAGTCCATTGTTATGTTTGAAAGGATTACAAGTGCACTGGGTGAAGAAATTAGAAAATCACAAGGGATTTGGATGTTTACCCATATTTTAATGATTAATGAAAGATTATTATTTTCTTGATATTAGTGATTAGCTCTTTAACAGAAATTATAAGCCTAGATCCAGTGGAAACAGTCTAAGATGAAACTCACTAGGATTTGGAGGTCGATAAAAAGGAAAGTACATTATTAAAGTGCCCAATGTTTTACTTTTGGATAAATGAAGAGTTGGGGGCGGGGATGACTATCAAAATCTTCTATAGCAAGGATAGAGGGCCATCGTCAATTTGCAATAATTAGAAAAATTTCTCAGGATTTAATATGATAGCCATAATTATAAAGGATGGGTAGGCATTGATATCAAAATTGTATATAAACTATATGTTGGTTATCAGCCCTTGGTTCCTACAGTAATTTATTTTACAGCATTTCAAGAAAACCATCTCCTCTTTCCCCAAATAGTTAAAAAAATTAAAGACACAGGGGAAACCACACCAAAACTATGGAAAATTATCCAGTATAGAAATCAAAACAAATCTAAAGCAATCACTATCCATCACCACCTACTGGATTTCTAACTACTTATTTAAAAATAAAGAGGAATAAAATACACGGTTGAAAATTTTACACTATTAAACTGTTTTAAGAAAGAATAATCAAACCAGCACTGGTCAATACAACAGATTACAGTGAAGTTGAGCAGCAGAAGTAGTAAATAAATTTCCATAAAATAGATAAGAATTAATAACAAAATTATTTTAATTAAATGTTAAACTGTTAAATAACTTAGCCTATATAGTATATAATTTATGAAAGGTATTTAATTACCTTTTTGTTCCACTTCTATTGGAGAGAGAGAAGTAAAGAGAGAAAGGAGAAAAGAGAACAGATTAATGGTTTGGTATTGGCCAAGCACTTTTTATTTACCTCTTCCAAACTGAAAGTTAAGTTATTTTACTCATACTTGCTTTATTTAACATTATGGTTTTTTTTTTTTTTTACAAACCCATTCCTGTAGCAAAATTATTTTTTCAAAAAGAGAAATCATATTACAACCTTAAAAATACAGTACAAACTTGGAAAAATAAGGCAAAGGTTAATCAAGCTAAGATTGAATAAGCATACTATTCCCTACTATAGCCATAGGAAATACAATATTCATAATACGAAGACCAACATTTCCATTTGACAGGGAGGTAGGAAATATACACAGAAAG